TTCTTTAGGAGCTCTGGTAGCATAGTGCCTAAGGCACTTGACTGCTAACCAGAAGGCTGGCTGTTCAAACCCACCAGCCACTCCTTGGAAGGAAGGTCCACCATTTAGGCGCTCTGGTAGCATAGTGCCTGAGGCATTTGACTGCTAACCAGAAGGCTGGTGGGTTTTCAAACCCACCAGCCACTCTTTGGAAGGAAGATTGAGCAATCTACTTCCATAGGGATACCACCTCAGAAACCCAAAGAGGGGTCGCTATGAGTCAGATCTGACTCAACAGCAGTGAGTTTTGAGAGTATGGAATGTTAACCTGCTGTCAACCACACATCACTTGCTTGCTTTAGCTTTTATATTTCACTCAGGAGTGCACAAGGGATTAAATTCTACATCTCTCTTCTCCACTATTCTCATTTTTGTTGCCTGAAATTTCTTCCTCTTCTTGGCCAATATCTGTCCATCCTTTAATACCTGTCTCAAATATATTTGTCAACTTGATATAACAGTAATGGTTGAGGTTGGTAAGATTGAATGGGAATCGAGAGAGGAAGGGCAGGGCATTTAAAGGTTTACTACACTCACAGTCCCTGGTATTCACAGGCAAGGCCACGTGGGGAAAACACAGGGGGCAGTCAGTCACAAAGCAGAAAGAAGGAGCAGGACCGTGAGCCATTTTATTGTTTTTTGCAGGAAACCTGACAGGGAGAGGTCACAGGACACGGGGATTTTATTAGGCAGCTGTGTCTGAAACTCACGCCTTGGAGCTTGACGTGTTTACCAAAGGGGAAACTGAGGGAGTTTTTGGGGTTTGTTTTTTTAATCCAAGTATAGCAAACATGGGCAGAGAAGGGATACTTGGTGTGCTGTTAAAACATCGTATTACAGTAGCTAACAAAATGCAAAAATGCAACCATTGCCGTGGAGTCGGACCCGACCCATAGCGACCCCTCCTTGGGTTTCCGAGGCAGTATCACTACGGAAGTAGATTGCCCAACCTTCCTTCCTGGGAGTGGCTGGTGGATTTGAACCGCCAGCCTTCTGGTTAGCAGTCAAGTGCCTTAGGCACTATGCTACCAGAGCTCCCTACAGTAGCTAGGAAACACAGTTAATTCAATGTACTACCTGTACAGTTCTTTCTCTAGTTTATTACAACCACCTTGGATCTCCCAGGTACTTGCATATTTTCTTTGTATATGTTAGTTTTGTAAATTCTTCTTATGGCCATACGAATTTGACCACATTCTTTAATGTGTGTATGGGTATATTCTGATTCCTCAACAAAGTTGTAGACTCTTGAATGATGGGAACAATGCCTTCTGGTTTTGTTCTGTTCTGTTTTGCTTTGCTTTGTTTTTGGTGGGGAGGGTAAACAGGATATATCCCACACCACATTACTCAATGGATGTTTATTAACTTTTACTCATTGACGTGGATACTCAGTTGCCATCGTTTTTCTTTACTTGTGAGTGAGACAAAAGTATCAGACCAAATTTTCAGTGCTAGATGATCAGAGAACCTGTAGTGCTGGGATAACTTGCTTTGTTTATTAACAGTGTGTGGATCCCCACCAACCCCCACAAGATCCAGGTGGCCACCCAGTCATGCACCAGTCAGCCATTAAACATGCCACAGGAGAAGCTGTATTTTGTGATGACATGCCCCCCATCGCCCACGAACTCTTCCTGGCTGTAGTCACCAGCACCAGAGCACATGCGAAAATCATGTAAGGAATTAAGAGGTTTCCTTTTATTCCTAGATATTCCTGTATGTTACTGAAATGCATTTACAATTTCATATTCAAATTGAGTTTATTATACATTTAAGTCTATTAAGAATATTCACTTCCTTTTCTGGATGGAAATCAGTTGTGAAAGAATCTATGGCCAAGAGTTAGAACACCTGCTGAATAATGGCATACTCAACATAGACGACTGCTCCGTGATTTAGTCCGTTGTAGAAAAACCCTTTGTTTGAGGAATCATTTCTACTGCACTGTGTACTCCCCCCTGCAACTTTAATCCAGCCCAATCCACTGCTCTCAACTTGATTCTGACTCATAGTGACCCTTTAGGGCAGAGTAGAACTGCCCCATAGGGTTTCCAAGGCTGTAAATCTTTACAGAAGCAGGCTGTCTCATCTTTCTCCTGCAGAGCAGTTTGTGGGTTTGAACCTCCAACCTTTTGGTAAGCAGCCAAATGCCTTAACCACTGCACCAGCTCCTACAGCTCTAATAGCTACCTTCAAATTTCCCTCATAGGTCAATTGATACTTCAGAAGCCCTGGCATTTCCAGGTGTTGTAGATATTATAACAGCAGAGGATGTTCCGGGAGATAACTAACTTGGAGAGGTTTTCTATGCACAGAATAAGGTATGAAATTGGTGTGTAGCTTATTATTCAAATACTTTCCAGGAAATGCCAAAATAATCATTGGTTTTAGTAATGATATCCCTGGTTCCATGTAACAAATAGTAGCTAAGAACCAATAACTACCTCAGTGGTTCTCAATCTCTCTTTTGAATCATGTCCTTCTTTAAGACTCTGATAAAAGCTGTGAGCCCTCTCAGGAACAGCTTCTAAAATGTCATGAAAGTCACAGAAGCAACATATAGCATAAACCCATTGCTGTCAAGTTGACTCCAACTCATAGCAACCCGATGGGACAGATCAGAACTGCCCCCATAGAGTGCCAAGGCTATAAATCTTTACAGAAGCAGACTGCCACACCTTTTTCCTACAGAGCAACTGGTGGGTCCAAACCACCAACCTCTTGGTTAGCAGCCAAATGCTTTAACCACTGGGCCACCAAGCTTCTTAATATATAGTATAGGATATTAGAAGAACCAACTGAATTTCCAGATGACCAGATCATGGTGTATGGTACTGGAATGGTAAGGAGGACACCAAAAGATAACCAGATAGCTAAAGACAGACAATTAAATTCTGCACCCAATTCGTGTCCCCTCTCCCATCCCACTCAAGCTGTTGTCTTATATCTATTCTCATAGGTAGAAGATAATCCTTTTTTAGAACATGACCAAACTTCTGAAAGCAGGTGAACGTAAGAAAGTGATTCCTTTTTACCAATTCTGTGTTTTACCTACTTACATGTGGCTTTTCTGCAGGTCATTTGTGTGGGTCAGGTTGTCTGCACCGTGGCTGCAGATACCTATGCTCATGCAAAAGAGGCAGTTCAGAAAGTGAAGATCACCTATGAGGACATAGAACCAAGGATTATAACAATAGAGGTAACCAGATGACATTGTGTCTTCTGGATGACTCGCAGGGAGGGAGAGTGGTTGGCAGAAATCAACCCACTGAGTCATAAAATAATATAATTTGGGCTCCTTCTATACCTTGTTCAGTGTTTTCCTTATACTTGTAGAATGAAAGCTCCAGCCATCTGAGCCTCAACATTGACTACTGAGACCCTCTCAGCCCAGAGCCCCTTTCTCCCCCCAGTGACTCTGCAGGGACCCAAGACGTGAAGCATCCTGTGCCACTCCTCTTCCCGTGGCCCATTGCCATAGCATGGCCTAAGAATAAGTAACACCAGAGAATAGCCTGTGATTTCACATACAAAACTCAAACTAACAGCCATCGAGTCGATCCCAACTCACAGTGACCCCTTTGAGTTTCCAAAGTGGTAAATCCTTATGGAAGTAGATTATCCCATTTTCCTTCCATGGAGTGGCTGGTGGGTTTGAACCACCAACCTTCTGGATGGCAATCAAATGTGTTACACACCACGCACCAGAATGCCTTATATATCTAGTCAGTGGGAAAATCCAGAGCACTATGAAACTCAGAGGAGCTCTGGTAGCATAGTGCCTAAAGCACTTGACTGCTAACCAGAAGGCTGGCGGTTCAAACCCACCAGCAAGTCCTCGGAAGGAAGATGGGGCAATCTACTTCCATAATGATACTGCCTCGAAAACCCAAGGAGGAGTCACTATGAGTCAGGTCCAACTCAACGGCACACAACAACAACAACAACAACATGAAACTCAGACGAATTACAACATTTATTGCATTGCAACTGTTGGGGCCTCTGCCTCCCCACCCACTTATGCTTAAGCACCAGCTCTGGAGACAGAGCCTGGGTTCATATTGTGACTCTACCACTTAGCCTCTTAATAGCTATAAAAGCTTTGGCAAGTTACTTAAACTCTGTTTCCTCATCTTTAAAATGGGAATCATAAAAGTACCTACATTAAAAGGTTGTCATGAGGTTTAAAGAGAGAATCAAACTGCTTAGCACAGTGCCTACAACATGAAATTCATTCAATAAATGTTAACTGTTGTTTTTGTTTTTGTTGTTATTAATGAGGGCAAGGACATGTCATATTGTAATTTTTATCCCCAGTGCCTAGCAAAGAACCAATCCCATAGTTGGTGTTCAATAAACGTGTGTTATATGGTAGAGGGATAGATGGAAAAATGGATGCAGAGGCAATACAAAACCCCACCAAGTAGGATGGAGTCTTCAGCACCTTGGATTTTCCCCTGTCCTTCTCAACAGTTGCCAAGTTCAAGTCTTTCCCAGTTATCTTGTTAAACGTCTCTTAAGTCTGACCCTTTCTTTCCATTCTTACCTTCACCCCTATCCTACCAGGCCTTGCCATCTTATTGTCATATTTACTAACTGCTTACAGAGGCTCTCCTCTTCCATTTCAGTCTATCTACCCACCACAGCACAAGAGTTAAGCTCTCAGCTGCTAACTGTAAAAGCTGGCCGTTCAAATCCACCCAGCAGCTCCACAAGAGAAAGACCAGGCAATCTATTGACATGGAAATTATTGATTCCGTGGCACCTAACAATACCACCACCACCAAGTTCATCAGACCTCTTTTCCAATTCAATAATGTTTCCTTAGATGAGGCCCAGACTCCATAGCATGGAATTGGAAGTATTTCATAGTTCAGCCTCAATCCACCTTTCCAAACTCACTTTCCACTACTACCTGAAGAAAACCTACACTCCTGCTAGCCTCATTTCAGCTAGCCTGTTTCGTTCTGTTGTACATAGGGTCACTATGCATCGGAGCCAACTCGACATCACCTAACAACAACAACAACAGCATATGCATATGTTTAGCTTTAGTAGTTACTGCTAACCATTTTCTCATTATACTCCTGTTATCAGTTAAGAGAATTGCTAAATTCCTTACTATTTTCATTTTAACAAATATTATTCCATTTCAGCCCCCAGCTTGGTTTCATTCTCAAACTTTTGATTTATGTAGTGCCTTTGACTTCAAATGATTTTCCTTCTCTTCCCTAATTGTCCTGTTTTCATCCAGTTCAGAACTCAGCTCAGGTCACGCACACACAGCCATCTCTGAGCATTCCAGGCCCCACTGGCCTCTGCCTTCTTGACCTCTCATGACTTGTATTGTTGCCCAGCCATGCCCCCACCCTGAAATAATACCAAACTGCCTCAGACCATCATCACTTAGCTCTGTAGAGAGTGGATCATGTTTTATATATCCTCATATGCTCTTCATTTCCTCCCCCCAAAGCCTTGAACAAAACTCTTGAGTTGCCAATGCCTGCAACCCATTTTAATAGATTTCTGCTGACTCTTCACACCACTCTGATTGTCTTGATGTATGAAGATAGAGAGGACCATGAGCTTGATGGGAGACCAATGGCTTATTTGTTGTTGTCCTTAATTGTTGTTAGCTGCTGTCGATTCTGACTCATGATTTATTTCAATGCAATAAAAATAATCAGTTCACCTTTTTTTTTTTCTTTTGTTTGTTTTTCTACCACAGCAAGCCCTAGAGCACAATTCATTTCTTTCTGTTGAGAAAAAAATTGAGCAAGGAAATGTGGAACAAGCCTTTAGATCTGTTGATCAAATCATTGAAGGTAAGTGGTCTTACAAGAGAAACTTCTAAAGATAAAGACTGTAGTTTCAATCATCTAGTTCTAAAAATACTGAAACTCTAAAGTAGCGCTTCTCAACCTGGGTTTAATTTCTAATTTCTTATTGAAATGTAGCATATATATAGTAAAAGACAGTACATTCACAAATAATGAGCATACAACTTGATTAATTTTTACACATGTAAGGTTGGTGGTTCAAATCCACTGGCAACTACTTCCGTAAAGATTTACCACCCTGGAACCCCAATGGCGGTTGCTATGAGTCAGAATCAACTCCATGGCAATGGGTTTGGTTTGGTATTTTTTTTATACCTGTTGCTGTGGGGTCACGGTGACCCCTCCCCCCATGTAGGACAGAGCTGAACTACTCTGTTAAGTCTGTGTATTACCCACATCAAAGTATAGAATATTTCCAGCACCTCAGAAAGCTTCTTTGTGTCCTTCTAAGTCAGTAACTTTCCCAGAGGTATTGTTCTAACTCTTATTCTTTAGGAGTTCTGGTAGCATAGTGCCTAAGGCACTTGACTACTAACCAAAAGGCTGGTGGTTCAAGCCCACCAGCCACTCCTCAGAAGGAAGGTTGGGCAATCTACTTCCATAGTGATACTGCCTCAGAAACCCAAGGAGGGATCACTGTGAGTCAGGTCCGACTTGACAGTAAACAACAACAAACATTATTCTTCTATCATTGTATAATAGTTTCACCTGTTTTTGAACTTCCTCTAAGTGGAATAATACAATTTACTTCTTTCATACATACCTCCTTTACTCAACATTATTTCTCAAAGTTTCATTCATGTTGTTTCATAAATAAGTAGAAAATTTTCAATGTTCTGTAGTATTGTGTAAATATTCCACAGTTTGCTTATTCATTCTATCACTGGTGGACATTTGAGTTGTTTTCTATTTGAAACTATTATGAATAATGTTTCCTTATATATTACTATACTTTCTTTTGGCAAACATAAGTACTCATTTCTAATGGAATATAACCAGAAGTGGAATTGCTGAATAATAACGTATTCATCAAGATGGATTGACACAGTGGTTGCAATGATGGGTTCAGGTATAGCAAGAATTGTGGGGCTGACACAGGACCGAACACTGTTTCATTCTGTTGTACATAGGGTTGCTATGAACCGGAGCCAACTCAACATCACCTAACAACAACAACAGCATATTCATATGTTTAGCTTTAGTAGTTACTGACAACCATTTTCTCATTATACTCCTATTATCAGTTAAGAGAATTGCTAAATTCACTTACTATTTTTAATGGTCTATAAGTTCTCTTGTGTTTTTTATACACAGTCATATCACCTGCAAAGAATGAAAGTTTTATGTATCCTTTTCCGATCGTGAAAGAGGCCTGATTGCACGGTAGTTGAAGTGCTTGGCTACTAACCCAAAAGTCAGCAGTTCGAACACACCAGCCACTCCATGACACAAAGATGTGGAGGTCTGCTTCTGTAAAAATTTACAGCCTTGGAAACCCCTTGGTGCAGTTCTACTTTGATGAATAGGGTCACTATGAGTCGGAATCAATTTGATGGCAATGGGTTTTTCCAATCTTGAGACTATTTATTTAGACTTGGTTCACTGGTTACAACCTAAGTTAGCATGATTTTAAAAAACACTAATACCCAGATCTTATCCCAAACCAGTGAAATCAGAACTTCGAAGCAGTTTGCAAACAGCTGCTAACTCAAAGGTTGTTGGTTCAAATATATCCAATGGTACTATGGAAGGAAGACCTGGCAATCTGCTTCCATAAAGATGGTAGCCAAGAAAACTCAACAGAGCAGTTCTGCTCTGAAACATGGGATCACCATGAGCTGGAATCTACTTGATAGCAACAGGTTTGGTTTTTGGTTCGGTACTTAACAAGCAAGCACAACAACTCTGAGAAGGAACATATCTATAGCTCGATTTTATAAATGATGAAACTGAGGCTTAGAAAAGTTGAAAGATTGGTCAAAGTCTCATAGCCAATTAGCAGTAGAACCAGGACTGAAGCCCAGGACCAGCTGGCCCTAAAGCCCTTACTCTTAACCACCACGGTATGCCTTCTTTTCATTTTTATTCTTTCCCAAAGGGCAGCAGGTTGGCAGGACACTAACTCTTGACCATTTTGGATTTGCAATCTGTGGAAGTTTAGAATGTTGGCGTAAGTGGGAAATTTGAAATGTGAAGAAAATTTGGAATTTGGGTATATTAATGTTGTTGTTATGTGCCGTCGAGTCGGCCCCGACTCACAGCGACCCCTCCTTGGGTTTCCGAGGCAGTATCACTACGGAAGTAGGATTGCCCAACCTTCCTTCCGAGGAGTGGCTGGTGGGTTTGAACCGCCAGCCGTCTAGCAGGTAAGTGTCTTAGCCACTATATACACACACACACACACACACACACACACATATATATATATATATATATATATATATATATATATATATATATATACAGGAGCTCTGGTAGTATAGTCAGGAACTCTGGTAATGTAGTACCTAAGGCAGTTGACTGCTAACCAGAAGGCTGGTGGTTCAAACCCACTGGCCACTCCTCGGAAGGAAAGTTGGGCACTCTAGAATGGCTAATTACAGAGCATACCAAGAGAGAGGTAGAGTATTGTCATGGTCATGAGCCAGGTTGCCAGGTCCCAATCCCAGCTCTGCTACTTTTAGTTTTGTGACCTTCAGCAGCTTACTTAACCAATGCAGGCTTCAGATTTCCCATCTGGCAAGATGGAGATATCAGTAAAACTTGCCTCATAGGATTGGGATGAAGATTAAATGAATTATTTATCTATAACATGCTAGGCCTTAGAACAATATCTAATGTATTTTAACTACTATGCCATTACTAGGGAGCTCTGGTGGCATCGTGCATAAGGCATTTGACTGCTAATCAGAAGGCTGGCAGTTCAAACCCACCAGCCACTCCTTGGAAGGAAGATTAGGCAATCTACTTCCAGAGTGATACCACCTCAGAAACGCAAGGAGGGGTCACGATGAGTCGGATCCGACTCAATGGCAGTGAGTTTTGTTGAATATGTTATTATTACATAAATAAATTTGTGTTTAGATTAAACACAAATAGATACATGTGTAAGCAGACTTTCTTTAAAAAAGGCTTTTTTGCATGACATATTCTGTTGCCCCAAGGAATCATTTCAAGTAATTCTTTCACTCCAGGCAAAATAATGCACTTAGTTTCACAGCACAGGTGTCTTTCTGCTAGTTTTAAAGTAAAAATACTGCCATCCAAATATTTAAAGTAGGGTCAAATGCCTCTCTTGGCACAGCCTATGAAATGATAAGCACATATTGAACAAGTCAAAAAGCTCAGATGTAAGGCCAAGCTTATTTCTGGGTAGGGAACAACCTCAGCTCTGTCATTTTAAACCTGTGTTACCTTCACAACTTACTTGTCCTCTCTGGGCCTCATTAATCCTCAATATCACCTAGTTGAGGCACATATTACTGCTATCCCCCATTTTACAAATGAGGAAACCAAGATTTAATAACTTGGCCACATACACTGTGTAAGGATATGACAGAGCTTGGATATATAACCAGGTAAGTCTGCACTCTCGAGTCCAACACCATCAGCAGGTCTATCCACTTCACTAGACAGATGAGAAAACCAAGGCCCAGAGAGGTTAAGTGAACTGCTCAGGGTTACTCAGCTGGTTGGGTATCAAACCAAAAACCAAATTCACTGCCATCGAGTCATTTCTGACTCATAGCAACTCCTCCTTGGGTTTCCGAGGCAGTATCTCTATGGAAGTAGATTGCCCAATCTTCCTTCCAAGGAGTGGCTGATGGGTTTGAACTGCCAGCCTTCTGGTTAGCAGTCAAATGCCTTAGGCACTACAGTGGAGATTTAAAAAGGTGATATAAAGCCCAGCTCTCCATAAGCTAAAGCAACTCACTCTTTATAAAGCAAAACACCATCGAGAACCCAAAAATAGGGCTTTCAATTAAAATTTTGTCTATATTTATGCTTTATAGGTGAGGTCCATGTTGAAGGACAAGAACATTTTTACATGGAAACAAACTATCCTGGCCATCCCCAAACAAGAAGATAAGGAAATGATGTTATACCTCGGAACACAGTTTCCAAGTCACGTGCAGGTAATAGGATATTTTTGGAAAAGGAGACTCCAGTTGCCCATGGGATGAGGCCCTTACAATTAGCACTCACTGGGGACCTTTTGATATATCCTACTCCCAGGCCTCAAACTCTCTGCACATTTATAACGGCTAAGGTTCAGAATGAAGAAAATGGGCAAGTATTTCTTTGCAAGGTGCAGATCTTTCAAAGTGATCTGAAATTTTTGTTACCTTCCAAAATATAGGGCAAAATTCATCTTTCTTTATAACAATTGATGGTGTAAAACTTAATTGGTGGAAGTCAAAACCTTAGTAATATATTTAAATTTCCCTTTGAAGTTCATTTGTATTCACCTTATAAATGTAGTTAAGTAGCTGTATGAATGTGTTCATGTAATGGTGGTACATGTGTGAAGATTTGTGTATCTGAGACATTTGCAGTTGAATGTATTAACTAGTTGCACCACCCGGAGACTCAATGCCCTCGGCTGCTAACTGGAAGATTAGATGTCTGTTCCCACCAAGAGGTGCCACAGAAGGAAGTACTGGTGATCTGCTTCCAAAATATTCAGCCATTGAAAACCCTGTGGAACACAGTTCTACTCTGACACACGTGGGTTACCATGAGTCAGTTACTGGTTACTAATCTACTAACTAGTAGTGCTGGGAGGGTTGGGGAAAACAGGGAGTGATTGTTAATGGAAATACGGTTTCTCTGGAGGGTGACGAAAATGTTCTAAAGTAAGATTATGGTTGCATGAATCTGTAAATGAAAGTATCGAATTAGTAAACTTCTTTTACTAGGTGGAGGGAAAGTACGTGGGTGAGGAAATCACTAAATTGTGGCTTCAGAGATTTACCTCTTGCAGGAATTTGTGGCTGCAGCACTAAACGTCCCAAGGAGTAGAATCGCCTGCTGCATGAAACGAGCTGGTGGAGCCTTTGGAGGGAAAGTGTCCAAGCCATCGCTGCTGGGAGCTATCACTGCCGTGGCTGCCAATAAGTAAGGGTTGCAGTCATAGCTGTTAATGTCCCTCATCCCAGCCACTACACCCCAATTTTCAGCCAATCGGTGTTAGCCTCTGATGTTTCCCATTTCATTTCCAAAGGGTTGTGGTTAGTACATAGGAGACGAAACACTGAGCACAGGACTATGTGCAAGTCCTGACTCTGCCCACTCACTTATAACGTCACACTGAGAGAGTCACCCCAGTTCCTCCTTCTGAATGTGGGGAAAATGATGTCCCACTTGTCTCACAGGTTGTCATGCAAAATAAATTTAGTCCCTTTGTAAATATTAACTCACTGTACAGACATAAAAATGTATAATTTCTCGTGAACTACACTGACTTTCACTTTTTAAAATGGTTGTCTTTTAAATCAAAATAGATCTAACTGAAGTTGAATGAATGGGAGAAGAGTCACAACCCCAACCATGAAAAAGACATGTTTTATCACAAATAAGCCAGGGGTCTGTTGCCCCCTGGGAATGCTCACTCTGGGCCTGCATCATGTGGATCTACTAACCAGATCCTGGAAGAGCCATGACTTTTGTGAACTTTGTAGCTACCTGAGTTCACTAAGATACACTCAGCACAAACTTAACAAAGCCCAGGCTACTGCTGCAAAAAGATAAACTGTCCTAGCTCATCAGTGCTTTCCAACACTAGAAAAGGTTGTCTTACATGCAGCAATTTTTCAGGTGCTGGGAACATTGCATCAAAATCCAAAGGACACGTTGATAGAAGTTTTTTGAAAAGGAACCCTGATTACAAGGAAGATTGAGCTAGACAGAGCATAAATTCTCAAACCTTCAGTCTCAACAACCCCTTATGGCAAATATTTTAGTGTCCTTTTTACTATCCCAAAGTGCAATTCATAGTAACATAACCTAAAACCCATTGCCACTGAGTCAAGTCTGACTCATAGCAACCCTACAGGTCAGAGTAGAACAGCCTCATAGGATTTTCAAGGCTGTAATCTTTAAGGAGGAGCTCTGGTGGTGCAGTGGTTAAGGCATCTGGCTGTTAACCAGAAGGTGAGAACCCACCAGTTGCTCTGCCAGAAAAAGATGAGTCAGTCTGCTTCGGTAAAAAGGTACAGCTTCAGCAATTGGCATAACATAGCACACAAAACATTGTTCTACCTCCTACTTTGGCAAATAGCGACTGGGGTCTTAAAAGCTTGCAGGCTGCCATCTAGATGCAACGATGGGTCTCTCGTCATCCAGAGCAAAGAAGAATGAAGAAAACCAAAAAGTCATGGAAACAATTAGTCCTAGTGACTGGTACACCATGCAATCTTCAGCCTATATGACTATGAGACCAGAAGAACTAGATGGTGCCCAGCTACAAATGTCAACCACTTGGAAGGGGATCTATGAAGAAGATCCTGGATAGAGAGGGAGAATAATGTGGAACAAAACTCAAAATCACTTGGAGAAAAAAAAAAAAAAAAGGGGGGGACCAGGTTTGCTGGTCCAATAGAGCCTGGTGGAACCACTGAGACTATGGCCCCTAGCTGCCCTTCAGGTCTGGAATTGAAACCACGCCTGTGGCTTCCAGCCAACAATAGACAGGTATATGAGTTGAACATTTCCCTGAGGTAGATACACTCCTTGAAGAGAACCATCATGGGAGAAAGAAGGGCTGCTTATGCACAGAGAGACAGCTCAAGGGGCAGGAGTGCATGGAAGGATGGACACAGGGAAGAGGTAACTATAGGGAGGAAGTGGGAGGGGAGCTGTTGCATTGTGGTAAATTGTGGTCAATTTCATGAGACAAAGTGTATGTGAACTGCTGTACAGAAAGTGAATTTTCTCTGTAAATTTTCACCTAAATCACAATAAAAAAAAAATGTACAGCTTTGGAAACCTGATGAGGCAATTCTATGTACTCTGTCCTATAGTGTCTCTATGAGTCAGAATCGAGGCGATAGCAATGGATTTTTGGCTTTGGAACCTTTAGGGAAGCCGATTGCCACTTCTTTCTCCCACACAGTGACTGGTGGATTTGAACCACCAAGCTTTAGGTTAGCACCTGAGCGGTTAACCACTGTGCCACCAGGGCTCCTACTGTAACCTACCTGTTTGTATAATTTCAGAAGAATCACATAATATCTTAATGTAACATAAAAAAGAAATTAAAGGAAAGTAATTTATAACCAGATAATATGACTTCAAATACATAGAAGCTCAGGAGTGACTAAACCAGAATAATAATAAAAGTTTTTAAATGCCTCCACAAATTTCCAAAATGTCATTTAAAGCATGTTACTACTCCCACTAAAAACCACTAAACTAGATTATCTCAAGTCTCCCTCCCAATCTCTAAATTGTCACAACTTTATAAAGTGTCCAGCTTATTAACAGTTATTTCCTACAGGACTTGGCCGCCAAATCCGATTTATTCTAGAGCGTGGTGATGACATGCTGATAATTGCTGGCCGCCATCCACTCCTGGGCAAATACAAAGTGAGTGAGAGCTAACACTTACGAGGGAGGAGGAACGTACTACTCAGAGGAATCAACCAACCAAGATCAAAAGGGCAGCATTTGACCAAACACAAAGCAGGGCGGGAAAGGAGGAGGAATGGAAATGGGGAAAAATGGCAGAAAATGAAAAAATGCCCTTCCATGGAGGGAATTGCAACTAATGTTCTGAGGCAAAATGTGTACAGATTGTTGAGAAGAAAACTGATTTGCTCTATAAACTTTCATGCAAACCATAATTTAAAAAGAAAGTGAGAGCAAAAATTCCAGCAAACTGCCTCAACTGTTGTCCAGTTAACCAACCAGAAATAAAGATAACTCTTAATTCCTTACCGCTTGAAAGGAATGTTTGGACACTGCCTAAAACTTGCCAGAATTTCCTGGTGGAATCATGTTTCTTATTGTTGTGGTTGTTATGTGCCGTCGAGTTGCCCCGACTCATAGCAACCCCTCCTTGGGTTGCCGAGGCAGTATCACTACAGAAGTAGATTGCCCAACCTTCCTTCCAAGGAGTGGCTGGTGGATTTGGAGTGGCTGGTGGATCTGAACTGCCAGCCTTCTGGTTAGCAGTCAAGTGCCTTAGGCACTGCGCTACCAGAGCTCCTTCATGTTTCTTAGACATCGACTTTACTGTTCTTGTGCTCGTTTACGTCACATCAAATCATATGCATGAGCTGGGTATATTGAAACTGTGATCCTATATGTTTGTGTCCTGCGTGGTTTGCTTGCGAAGGAAGGCCATTGAGAAAATTGCCTCACCCGTGATTATTCTGCAGATTGGATTCATGAACAACGGTGTGATCAAAGCTGCTGATGTTGAATATTACGTCAATGGCGGATGCACTCCTGATGAGTCTAAGATGGTAAATAGGAAACGTGCCTCCCCACAGGTTCCCAGTAGGGCAGCATGTGGCACACTTTGTTTGTTTGAATATATGTCTTATATATTAGACAGATTCTGTGAAGAGTTCAAGTTAGAGATAAAATTCAGGTAGTTGTCTTGGATATTAGGCAAATGTTTTATTTTGTTTTGTTTTCATTCAGGTAGTGGAGTTCCTTGTGCTGAAATCTGAAAATGCATATTATATTCCTAATTTCCGGTGCCGGGGTAGAGCTTGCAAAACAAATTTGCCGTCTAATACAGCCTTTCGAGGATACGGCTTCCCCGAGTCTGTGGTGGTGGTCGAAGCCTACATAACTGCGGTGGCATCCCAGTGTAACTTACTCCCTGAGAAGGTAACTAGTGAGAACCCCTAACAAAACTCTCACATCATTGGCATGCTGGCACCTCACATCTGACATTCAAACATATCTCGAGCACATATGTATGGCAATTCCAAGACATAAAGTACATCCTTCATGTATTTGTTGGATTTTGTTGCTTAACAGATCTCCACAAAACTTAGTGGGTTAAGAGATAGTATTTTTTTATGACTGAGGATCAGCTGGGTGATACTTCTCATCAAGGTCAGCTCAACTGGAGTTTTATGGTCTGAGATGGCTTCATTTATATGACTGGTGGTTGTCAGCCCCTTAGTCTAGAAAGTACGTCAACTGGGAAGGTTCTTCGTTGCTCCCCAAGTCTCCCATGCTTCAGTGGACTCGCCCAGACTTGTTCACATGGTCGTGGTGGTTGAATTCCCAAGAGCAGCCAGAACATGGCCAGCCCTAAGCACAAGCACTTTAGGAGTCTTTGCTTGCATCACATAGGTATTGTGGTATCGGCCAAAGCAAGTCACATGGGCAAGCCCAGAGTCAGGGTGATACCACCCACGAATGTGAAAACAGGGAGCTGAGTAATAGTGGATATTTGGGCAAACATTCTACCACAGTTCAGGACTTTGTGGAGCTCCTCTGAGGACAGGTTAAGGCACCACTGTGTAGCAGTGTAAGAGCTCTCCTGGCACCATGGTTAAGGCATTCAGCTGCTAACCAGAAATTTGGCTTGTTGAATCCACCAGCCCCTCAGTGGGAGAAAGATGAGGCAGTCTGCTTCCATAAAGATTAACAGCCTCAGAAACCCTATGGAGGCGGTTCTACTCAGTCCTGCAAGATCTCTATGAGTCAGAATTGACTCAATGGCAGTGGGTAGGTATTGAAGTATAAGATTTGTATTTTTGAGTCAAGAGAATTTTGTCTCACCACTAACCAAACTTGTGACAGCACCAAGAGTAGTATCTAATATTATTATTGTTTTTGTGTTTATAGGTGTACACCTGGACTTGCATATCTATGTTGTTGGTGGTTGTCGTTGAGTTGATTCCAACTCACAGAGACCCCATGAGACAGAATAGGAATGCCCCACAGGGTTTTCTTAGCTGTAATCTTTAGGGGGGCAGATCTGCACATCTGTGGAGCTGCTGCGTGGGTTCCAATCACCATCATTTTGGTTAGCAGCCAAGCAAGCTCTTAACCATTTGTGACACTAGGGCTTCTTTGTATATTTCTAGTTATTTAAATTGTTTCCTTTTTTCCAGACAGACTTTCTTCATATCAGGTATCTAACAAAACACATGCTCCATATACAGAACAAGCATCTATCCTTAAAATACATTTTATTTTCTCCTCTTTCAGGTTAAAGAAATAAACATGTATAAAAAGATTAGCAAAACGGCCCATAAGCAGAAATTTAATCCAGAGCCCTTGCAAAGATGCTGGAAAGAATGTTTGGAGAAGTCTTCATTCTATGACAGGAAAGTGGCTGCAGAGGAATTTAACAAAAAGAATTACTGGAAGAAGAGAGGTCTTGCTGCAGTGCCCATGAAATTTACCATTGGCATCCCCATGGCCCATTACAGTCAGGTGAGGCTGAAAGAGATGTCTTCTCAGCAAAAACACTCTCCAACTGACTGGCTCTCTGAAAGGGCAATTGTTTACAACTAGGGATGATCCCCTCTGGGAGGAGAAAAGGTACTAGGACACCTTCCTGCTACAGGAAACAGAAGTGGTTTACGCAAGAACAGGGACCATGGGTATCAGGGGAGAGCCAGGAGGATGTGGTATCAAGACCACAGAAAGCAGTCAACAAAATCCAGCCCAGGGGGATCTGGCTTGGGTAACAGGACCCCACACATGGACACTAGTGTTTGGGGTCAATTTCAAATCCATGAGAGAACTGGGAGAAATAAGAAGACCCCTTTCTTGTCTCCTTCCTAGTTTCTTAGTGACATCAGTAGGGTCATTTGAACACAGAGTTTTACAAATGAGAACAGAAAGAGCTACGTCCTTCACAGAGAAATTTAGAGTTACTATATTGAGGCTAGGTGACTAAACCTCCTTTTTAATTTTATGATAAATGGTTTGCATGAGGTTCTGTTTCTGACTCTTCTTTATTCCCCTGTCAATCTCTAAAATGTCCCCATAGGCAAACCTATACAAAGGAAAGAAAACAGGCTTCCTGGATGGTGTGAAGGAGTGGTGCCCTAGGGGTCTACGCTCTGCACCCTTCCTTGGAGTCCACGAACAGGGCAGAAATGGAAATGAAAGGGAGAGAAGGGAAGCCAGGGACACTGCACCACTTGGGGCCGTCGTTCAGGCTTTCCTCCCTGGTAGTGTTTCTCAAGCCTAAATCACAAACCAGCTGAAGCCAGTTGTCACCTAGTCAATTCCAACACACATGTCAGAGTAGAACTGTGCTCCACTGGGTTTTCAATGGCTGATTTTTCAGAAGTAAATCACCAGGCCTTTCTTCTGAAATGCCTCTGAGTGAACTCAAACTACCAACCTTTCTGTTAGCAGCCAAGCACATTAACTGTTTGTACCACCCAGGAAATGCCAAAGAACAAACACACACACACAAAAAAAAAAAAAACCTAACTCACTGCCATCAAGTCAATTTCAACACATAGCAACCTCCATTGGGTTTCCAAGTCTGTAAATCCTTACAGAAGCAGCCTGCCTCATCATTCTTCAGTGGGGCAGCTGTTGGGTTAGAACCACTAACCTTTTGGTTAGCAGGAAAATACTTTAACCACTGCACCATCAGAGTTCCTTAAATAACACAGGGATCCCCTTTCAAAGAAAACTTTCTTGTGGACTCTCAATGGTTGCTTAAATTATTTATTTTAATATTATTTAACTTAGTATAACCATGAAACAAAGAATAAACTTACAGTTCTTATGCCTTAAAAAAATACAAAGAAATTGACAAATGAAATAAAAATAATAGTGTGAGTGTCAGTAATATTCAAAAGAGCAACATTAATGCCATGTGATGGACGGTGTTGCTTTTCTAAAACTAAATGCCTACTCACAATATGATGGTGGTTCTGACTGCTGCTGCACAAGTCATTCCAAAGTCTTTCTGCTAAATGCCTATATATGTATGGTGTGATGGTTCTCTGTCCTACCACTTGGCTCTACTATGTGCCATCAGTCAAAGTAGTCCTCCTGAGTGCTTACACAATTGTCAACACAAAATCTCACATGGGCTCTGAAAGCTTGTGGCAATACTCCTTTGTACATGGTCATGCATTACTCTTGTTAGATTGTCATGGAGATGAAAACAGTTCTTGTAGAGAAGTTGGTGAGCCAGAGAATACAGCCTCACACCCAGGAGACTGGCACAGATGAGTTAGCTGATACTGTGAACGCGTAGTGGAGAGAGCATAGACATCAGCATGAGGGCAGAGGTCCCACAGGGATTCGTGCAGGATGCTGGGCCACTTGCATGAGCACATCACAAGGACAGCTGTAAAGAAAAATTCCGGCTACTTGACGAAGTTCTCCACACCCTCACCCCCTCCTTCCTGTGTCTGGTTCCTGGAGCCACATATCCTTTCTGTGGCTTCTTCAGTTGGAACAAACCCCAGAGATGGCCCACAGCAGTTGCTTGGAAGGAGGCAGCATGGCATGTTATAAAGGATACTGGGTTCAAGTTAGGAGTTGTGAGTCCCAGTTCTCACTTTGCCACAGACTAGACACCTGGGTTTGGCCAAATCTCCCCATCTCTAGGCTTCTGTTTTCCCACATGCAAAATGAAGAATTTTAACTAAATCAACGGATCCAAAACCTGACCAATCATAAGAATCACCTGGAAATTTTCAAGATAGACACCTGGGATCCACCACCAACCTGCAACTAACTTGGAATTTCAGACAGTGCCCGTTCCCCTCCCCTCCCCTCATTCTGAAGATCTGCAGCATTTGCAGACTGTCCTAGTTTCTTAGAGCTGCTCTAACAGAAATACCATAACTGGGTGCTCTTAAAGAACAGAAACTTATTTTCTCACAGTCTAAGAGCACCAACTCTAGGGGAAGCCTTTCTCTCTGTTGGCCTAGAAAAAGGTCCTTGTCTCTTTTTAGCTTCTGTTCCTTGGTGCCTTGGAGACCCTCATGTGGCATGTATCTTTCCCTCCATTTGTGCTTCCTTCTCTGAATAATCTGCTCTTTCTTAATATCTTGAAAGTGATTGACTTAAAACACACCCTACCCTGATATGATCTCATTAACATAACAAAGAATGTTCTATTCCCAAATAGGATTACATCCACAGGTTTAAGATTTACAACATATACTTTTGCAGACACAATTCAATCCATAATACAGACCATTAAAATATCAAAGTGCTTCCAGTTCCTCTAGTGTCCAGGAAAGGTTGTGCCTGGAAAGTTATTTATTCAGATTCCATTTGCCTTAATTTGCACGGAATTTCCATGTCCACGGAGGGCAGGATAATAAAATGTCATGCAGGTTGGTATTTTGGAGAGACAGCTCCCAAGACAGTGACATCAAGGCCTCTAGTAGGCCAGTTACTCTGGTAGGATGGGAGATGACCTCCCATTCATGGGTCTACATTGATCATCTTCACGTCTAGGGTTTATATTGCAAGGGATTGTCTCACATAGCTATAGATAGTGTCTTTATTCTGCAGTGTAAAAAAATGAGAGACTGGCTCGGTGAAACAAAATCATTTAGCTGACAGCCTCAGCTAAACTCACAGAAACATTTGGCTGCACTAGTTTCCAAACTGGCATTATAATTATTTCCCCCAGGCTGCTGCTCTAGTGCACATCTATCTAGATGGCTCTGTCTTGGTGACTCATGGTGGCTGCGAAATGGGACAAGGACTTTACACCAAAATGATTCAGGTGAGGTAAGTGTTCATGTTCTCCACTGTAGAAGAATATAGCAGCTTACAATGAATTTAACAGCATTTTTCTTATTAAGCAGAAGAAAGACCATCACAATAAATGTACAGATCAATTGTAAGACTAATCTTGATTTCAGGAATGCAAAAATGGAGACAGGTGAGGGAGGGAGGTGTTAGAATTGAGAAAATATATTATTCCTCCCATAGGAGCTCTGGTAGTGCAATGATTAAAGCGTTCAGCTGCTAACCCAAACGTTGGCAGTTCTAACCCCCCAGCCAATCCATGAGAGAAAGATAGGGCAGTCTGCTTCTGTGAAGATTTACAGCCTTGGAACTCCATAGGGCAGTTCTACTGTGTTCAATAGGGTCACTATGAGTCAGAATCAACTCAACGACAGTGAGTTTGGTTTTTCGGTTTTGGTATTCCTCCCATATACAAAAGAACAAAGCCGATCACAAAAGGACAAACACTGTATAATACCACTTACATAAAATAAGCAAATGCAAACAGACCAAAGCCTATTAGTGGTTACCAGGGATGGGAGGGGGGAGATAGGGGAAATCATTGCTTATGGGCACTTAGTTTCTATTAATGGTGGAATAATTTGGAAAAGGATAGTGTTAATGAAGCCATGGCATGATAGATATAATTGTTGTTGTTATTGTTAGGTGCCGTCAAGTTGGCTTTGACTCATAGAGACTCTATGTTCAACAGAATTAAACACTGCCGGGTCATGCACCATCCTCACAATCCTTGCTATAGCTAAGCCTCTCGTTGTAGCCACTGTGTCAATCCATCTCATTGAGAGTCTTCCCCTTTCTCACTGACCCTCCACTCTACCAAGCATGATATCCTTCTCCAGGGATTGGTCCCTTCTGACAACATGACCAAAATAAGTGAGACGAAGTCTGGCCATTGTCACCTCCAAGGAGCATTCCAGCGGCACTTCTTCCAGGACAGACTTGTTAGCTTTTCTGGCAGTCTGTGGTATTCTCAGCATTCTTCACCAACACCACAACTCAAAAGCATCAACTCTTCCTCCGTCTTCCTTATTATTTTCTAGCTTTCACATGCATCTGAGGCGATTGAAAATATCCTGTCTTGGGTCACGGGTAGCCTTCAAAGAGACATCTTGGCTCTTCAACACTTTAAAAGGGTCTTTTGCAGTAGATTTGCCCAGTGCAATACAACGTCTGATGTCTTGACGCTGCTTCCATTGGTGTTGATTGTGGAACAAAGTAATATGAAATCTTTGACAACGTCAATCTTTTCTGCATTTATCATGATGCTGCTTATTGGTCCGGTTGTGAGGATTTTCATTTTCTGTATGTTGAGGTGTAATCCATACTGCAGACCGTAGTCTTCAATCCTCATCAGTAAGTGCTTAAGTCATTTTCACTTTCAGCAATATTGTGTCATCAGCATATCACAGGTTGCTAATGAGTCTTCCTCCAACCCTCATGCCGGAGTTCTTCTTCATGTAATGCAGCATCTCAGATTTTTTGCTCAGCACACAGATTGAACAAGTGTGGTGAAAGGACACAGCCCTGACACCCTCCCTTCCTGATTTTAAACCATGCAGTATCCCCTTGTTCTGTTCGAATGACAGCCTCCTGGTCTATATACAGGTTCCTCGTGAGCACAATTAAGTGTTCTGGAATTCCCATTCTTCACCACGTTATCCATAATTTGCTATGATACACACAGTCAAATGCATTTGCGTAGTCAATAAAACACAAGTAAACATCTTTCTGGTATTTTTCGCTTTCGGGCGAGATCCATCTGATATCAGCAATGATGTGTACCTCGTCCCGTGTTCTCTTCTGAATCCAGCTCACATTTCTGGCAGTTCCCTTCCAATATACTGCTGCAATCATTTTTTAATTATCTTCAGCAAGATTTTACTTGCATATGAAATGAATGATATTGTTTGGTAATTTCCACATTGTGTTGGATCACCTTTCTTCAGAGTGGGTACAAATATGAATCTCCTCCAGTTGGTCAGGTAGCTGTCTTCCAGATTTCTAAGCATAGAAAAGTGAGTGCCTCCAGTGTGGCATCTGTTTGTTGAAATATCTCAATGGGTATTCCATCAATTCCTGAAGCCTTTTTTTTTTTTTTCCTTGCCAATTCCTTCAGTGTAGCCTTGACTTCTTCCTTCAGTACCACTGGTTCTTGATCATATTCCACCTCCTAAAATAGATGGACATCAACCAATTCTTCTTCGTACAGTGATTCTATGTATTCCTTCCATCATTTTTTTAATGTTTTGTACATCATTCAATATTTTGCCCATAGAATCTTTCAATATTGCAATTCAAGGCTTGAATTTTTTCTTCAGTTCTTTCAGCTTGAGAAATACCAAACGTGTTCTTCCCTTTTGGTTTTCTAACTCCAGGTCTTTGCACATTTCATTATAATTGACTTTGTCTTCTTGAGCTGTTCTTTGAAATCTTGTGTTCAGTTCTTTGATCTTGTAATTTCTTCTACTTGCTTTAGCTATTCTCCAGTCAAGAGCAAATTTCAGAGTCTCTTGTGACATCCATTTTGGTCTTTTCTTCCTTTTCTATCTTTTTAATGACCTACTGATTTCTTTATGTGTGATGTTCATGATGTAATCCCACAGTTCTTCTGGTTTTCAGTCACTGGCATTCAATGGATCAAATCTGTTCTTCAGATGATCTCTAAATTCTGTTGGGATATAATCAAGGTCATATTTTGGCTCTCATGGACTTTTTTTTTTTATTGTTTTCAGCTTCAGCCTGAACTTGCATATGAGTAGTCCATGGTCTGTCCCACAGTCAGTTCCTGGTCTTGTTTTGGCTGAAGATATTGAGCTTCTCCATCCCCCCTTTCCACAGATGTAGTCGATCTGATTCCCTGTGTATTCCATCTGGCAATGTCCACATGTATATCAACTGTTTATGTTATTAAAAAAAATAATTCATTGGTCTTGCAAAATTCTATCATGCGATCTCTGGTGTCATTTCTATCACTAAAGTCATGTTTTCTATCCACCAGTGAGTCTTCATTTTTTCCAACTTTCATATTCCAATCACTATTAATCATCAATACATCTTGATTGCACGTTTGGTCATTTTCAGACTGCAGAAGTTGGTATAAATCTTCAATTTCCCCATCTTTGGCTTAGAAAAAAAATGAATGCATTTAAGAGGATTTAATAGGATGAGAAATTATGTTCTTAGAATTCACATCTACATAGGAACTTCACAGGACTTACCACTGTGTGTGCTGATTCTAAAGTTTCTAAACAGTTGGCAGATACATGCACACACACACTGCCATTGAGTCAGATCTGACCCATAGTGACGCCTCTTTGGGTTTCTGAGGCAGTATCAATACAGAAGTAGATTGCCCAAACTTCCTTCCCAGGAGTGGCTGGTGGGTTTGAACTGCCAGCCTTCTGGTTAGCAGTCACATGCCTTAGGCACTACAAGTAAGGGATTATCTGTGATAGGAAAGTCTTCCTCCCCCTTTTTTTTAAAACGTGAAATAAAAATTTGTTGAATATGAAATTTGAATGAAAAATATGTGGGAAGTAAGCCTTCATTCCCAATGGCAGATAGAATATACTGTCATTTAGGAAATATTACTATTGAATAGTGTACTTGGAATTAGGAAATCACAAAAGTCCACAGGCCCTTCTTTGAACACATCTTGCTTACTTTACAACAAAATGCTTTAGTCTACAAAATGTCCCACAAAGGAAACTACAGACAGACAGAAAGGCATACTACATGCTCTGCTGAGATGTGTGTGTAACACAAGGAGATGATGAAGACAGAACAGTAAGACCAAGGCCTCACACTTGCCTCCAGGTTTTGCATGTCATATTAATAAACTAGATGTCCCAGAGTGCCCATACTGCCATATGGCTTCTGTAAACTGATATGAAACTAAGTACAAAAGAGCTTGGTTGGCCACATGTCTCCAAAAAAGAGTGCATCTTTTACAATGCCATTTAAAATCTTCAAACATATTAATCTACATACAAAACCCAATTGTTAACTCCAAGCAAGTCTGCCACAACTCATGGCAACTCCATACCCAATGGGATACTGCTGTGATCCATAGGGTTTCTATTGGCTGATTTTAAGAAGCCAATCACCAGCCCTTTCTTTCTAGTCTATCTTAGTCTGGAAGCTCCACTGCAGCCTGTTCACCATGGCAATGCACAAGCCAAATGAGTGGTGGCAGCACATGAGATGCATTGGCCAGGGTTCCTGGAGCTCCCCCACGGAAAGTAAGAGTTCATCACTGCCCCCATTAGGAGGGTAGCCAGGTTTTATACTCAGTTTTAAAAGAAAGGTAAAGGCATTCTGTTTGAGGGCTTAAGGTCAATGAAACAAATGTGATTTCTTCTCTGCTTCTTGCAGGTGGCTAGTCGAGAACTGAACATCCCCCAGTCATACATACACTCATCTGAAACCAGCACAGTCACAGTGCCCAATGCTGTCTTCACAGCAGGGTCGATGGGGACAGACATCAACAGGAAGGCTGTGCAGGTGACTTTTCTTCCCATTTCTCACAGTCACCCAATGACAGTGTTGGAAGGGACTTTGTCCCACCCTTTCTTTCCATCTATCTTGGTGGGTAGAAGATAATTATTAAAGCTGTATAGTGGTCAGAGCCATGACAAGAACAGATATATGCACACCCATATTCATCGCAGCACTATTTACAATAGCCAAAAGATGGAAACAACCTAGGTGCCCATCAACTGAGGAATGGATAACCAAACTATGGTACATACACACAATGCAATACTATGCAATGCTAAAGAATAATGTAGAATCTGCAAAACACCACATAATGTGGATGAACTTGGAGGACATTATGCTGCGTGAAATAAGTCAATCACAAAAGGACAAATAGTGTATTAGTCCGTTATTGTAAAAGTTAAGGAAAGGTTTATCTATAGAAGGAAATTTTTTTTGTTGGTTACCAGAGGTGGGAGGGGAGGAGAGGGAATGCTGTTAGATAGATAAAGACAAGTATTGATTTGGTTGAAGAAAAGGGCAATGTACCAAATGTGAGTGACCAATATGGCGGCACTGAGGGAGAGAAAGACATAGAGAGGCACATGGGAGGTACAGACAACAAAGATGAACCCTTTTGCACAAACAGTACTGCATTGTCAGTGAAGGCAAACAGGGGTATATGGGTGGATAGATGGGTGGACAGGCTGAACTATTAGGTATGTGTACGAAATGGGAAGTATATCCAAGAACATGTATAGGGCTGGCAGACAATGATCCTATAAGTTTATGTGAATGATCAGAATTTCCAGGTGTATAGTAGAGTTGACAAGGGCCAAGGTTACAGTCACTGCTTGGTCACAGCCAGCTACCCAGAGGGACCGAGTAGTTGAACCTGTGGGCTTGGGACCATAGTCACAGGGGACATCAAGCTCAATTGGCATAACATACTATACAAAACATTGTTCCACCTCCTATTTTGACGAGTAGTGACTGGGATCTTAAAAGCTAGCAAGCTGCCATCTAGATGTAACGATGGGTCTCTCCTCGTCCAAAGCAAAGAAGAATGAAGAAAACCAAAATGTCATGGAAACAATTAGTCCTAGTGACTGGTACACCATCCAATCTGCAGCCTATACGACTATGAGACCAGAAGAACTAGATGGTGCCCAGCTACTGCTGTTATCCACTTGGAAGGGGATCTATGTAGGAGATCCTTGATAGAGAGGGAGAACAATGTGGAACAAAGCTCAAAATCATTTGGGGAAAAAAAAGGGTGGGGACCAGGTTTGCTGGTCCAATAGAGCCTGGTGGAACCGCTGAGACTATAGCCCCTAGCTGCCCTTCAGGTCTGGAATTGAATCCACACCAGTGGTTTCCAGCCAAACAAAAGACAGGCATATGAGTTGAACATTTACCTGAGGTAGATACACTCCTTGGAGAGAGCAATCATGGGAGAAAGAAGAGCAGTGTATGCACAAGGAGACAGCTCAGGGGGCAGGAGTGTATGGAGGGATGGACACTGGGAAGAGGTAACTATGGGGAGGAAGTGGGAGGGGAGCTGTTGCATTGTGATAAATTGTGGTCAATGTCATGAGACAATGTGTATGTGAACTGCTGTATGGAAAGTGAATTTGCTCTGTAAATCTTCACCCAAATCACAATAAAAAAAAATAAAATAAAAATTTTAGAAAAAATGAAATAAAGCTGTATAGCAGGTGGGAGCTTTGGTGGCATAGTGCCTAAGGCATTTGACTGTTAACTAGAAGGCTGGTGGTTCAAATCCACCACCCACTCCTCAGAAGGAAGACTGGGCAATCTACTTCCATAGAGATACCACCTTGGAAACCCAAGGAGGTGTCGCTATGAATCAGAACCAACTCAGTGGCAGTGAGTTTGGGTTTTTTGGTTTTTGTATAGTGGGTAAGGGTTTAGTGGTTACACACAACTCTTTCGAGTGTACGTTCAAAAATTTTACAATGAAGGAAAAGCTAGAAATATGAATACCTGGCATTTGGAGTTTTAGTAGGGTGAGACAATCCTACCAAGAAATATAGATGAGAGAAGTCCCCAAACAAAAGAAGGGGTTCAGAAGGTCACAGAAGAATGACAGATGTTCCCTGCAATGTCTTACTATCCTAAAGGGAAAACTTATCTCAGGAGACAGTTGAACTGTCAAGTCTAAAATTATGCACAGGAGTATGGTGGTCAAGACGTGATTAGGGGCAGAACATCTGATATTTGGGCAGGCATGGGCACTCTAGGACATATGTTTGCCTCGTATGTGGCACTCTTGTGTAATGAAGGCATCAATTTGTAATGAAGTCAATGATTAAACCAAACCAAACCCACTGCTGTCGAGTCAGGTCCAACACATAGCGACCCCTCCTTGGGTTTCCAAGGTGGTATCACTACGGAGGTAGATTGCCCAATCTTCCTTCCAGGAAGTGGCTGGTGGGTTTGAACCACCAGCCTTCTGGTTAGCCATCAAATGCCTTAGGCACTACGCCACCAGAGCCCCTGAAGTCAATGATAGAAAATTGAATGAATCGGCATCGATGGGTCGTATGAAGATAGCTATCTCCCTCATGCACGAGAAGCCACAGACCATTTCCCAAAAAGGAGATAACGAAAAAAAAAAAAAAGAAAGAAGAGACAGAGGCCAAGAGGGAGAACGTGGGGCATTCTGAAGCGGAGATGTTAGTAAGAACAGAGGTGTAAATGGATTTGTATTTAAATTAAGAGTGGAAGCCAAATTGGAGTCCAGTGACACCTAGGGGTCAGCAGGCGTATTCTCAGGGGTCTGAGAATTGACCACAGTTATTTTCAATGACAATTTTTTTTTTTTAAATAAAATAAGCATATTTATTGACTGCGTATTATAAAGAATGGCCCTTTATAAGTGGACTATTACCATAAGAACTCTCTGTCAACTTTTGAGACCAAGGAGGGTACTTTATGGCAAGACAAGAAAAGAGCAGAGATACATAAATGATGTTTTCCTGCTCAGTATGAAGGAGATGACGACAAGGTATGAGTGCAAATGAAGACCTGCTGGTAATTAAAAGGGAGTGATGAGAAGTTACCCATCAACTGACAAGCGATAGGCATGCTGAGGTCCAAAGAATCTGTGCCAAGTCAGTCAGTACTCTTCCACATTCCAAGCTACCATTTAGCTTCAGAAAAAGAGCATCATCAATGAATTAAATTAACGTTATTTTTAATTTTGTTGGTATATAGTTTGGTTTGCACACTTTGTCACCTTTTTTTTTGTTCTGTAAAAGAACTGTAACTCTAAGGCAACTGTACCTAGCTTTATGTTAGTACATATTTAAGCATCATAATAAGAATAATTTTAAGTCAACACTGCAGGATCCACACATATGTTATTTTTTCCTTCATTGGGTTTGCATACAGTCCTCAAGTTTGAGAAACCATACTTAGAGATGTAGGAAACAGAGTTATAAAATTGGCAGCCCACATTTCAATTGATTTGAATACTTAATGCCGTAGCTTTTTTTCTGATGTCATTTGAAATATTTGTTTTTCAGAATGCTTGCCAAATTCTTATGGACCGCCTTCAGCCCATCATCAGTAAAAACCCTAAGGGGAAATGGGAGGACTGGGTGAGTACTCTCTTTATCTCCCTGCCAAGAAGGGGCAAATGCATCCAGATGGACGGAAGTCCAGGATGATGGGCTGCTGGGTGAAGTCCATCCGAGAAACAAAGTTGTGATTCACATTCACTTGTGCTTTTCCAAAAGGGTAATGTCTATGTTCATGGAAACTTGATTTTGTTTCAGAGCCTAATTTCTCACAGAATACGGTAACAGCGTGGAATCTTGAGTAAAGCCCCTTGGAGTTGCTGCCCAGCTCTGTCACTACTGGCTCTGAGGGGCAACCCTCTCAGTGCCTCGGGGCTGAATTTTCTCATCTGTACAATGGAAATAATAGCAGTCCTGATATAAAAAATAAAATACTCTATCACTGGACTCCTTGGGTGATGCAAATGATTAATGTGCTGAGCTGCTAACCAAAAGGTTGGAGGTTCAAGTCTGCCCAGAAGGAGCTCGGAAGAAAAGCTTAATGATCAACTACTGAAAAACCCTATGGGGTGCAACTATTACACACAGTTTTTCACTCTGTGATCCGCCACCACCTACTGTCTTCAAATCATTTCCGACTCACTTAGAGTAGGACTGCCCCATAAGGTTTCCAAGGCTGTAAATCTTTACAGAAGCAGACTGCCACATCTTTCTGCCATGAAGCAGCTGTGGTAGTGTTTGAACTACCAAGCTTTTGGTTAGCAGTCGAGTGCTTTACCCACTGTGCTACCGGAATTCCTATTCTATGATTAATAAGTACTTTTATTATTATTCCCATCATCGTTATTATTATTCCCACCCCTGTTGACCTTAGTTGGCTCCAGCAGGAAAGATGCCACAGTCATATTGTGAGATAATTAATCATATTTTCTGGGAACAAAGCAGGGTACAAATACACACACATGCCCACACACCCCTGTGTACATAAGTACATAAATATGTCATAGCCCCCCTCCAACCTGAAAGGCTGGAAGGGTGAAAAGTATTGAACTTCACAGTGTGCAACCAAAAAAAAAACACCAGGTCCTAGAGCACAGCCAGCAGCTGCCCTCCAGCTCCTCCTTTGAGTGCCACCTGTAGCTTCTCCACCGGCATAGTCTCTTTTGAAGTGAATGTGGGTGCAGAGCTTGGTGGAAGAAGAGGCGAGTCCATCAAGGAAGGCATTTTTCATTACTTTCCTCAAACTTACATTTCTTTGTAACCCATCGTTTTTTCCAGATTGCAAAAGCCTTCCAAGAATCCATCAGTCTCTCAGCTACTGGATATTTCAAGTAAAGAACGTTTTTACTTTGGCTTAAATCACACATAGACGGGTGACATTTCACATTTTTAACAGCCAATCTGGGAGAACGCTGATCAATTTAAGCAGAGCTTGTCTGTGCCCGGTGTTAACCCTTAAGTCGCTGGATCTTAAGGATAAAGAAGGAGTTCTGGGGGAGGGCCAGGGCACAGACTCCTGGGAACAGCGGCTATCTGCCAGCCAGAAGGGACACCATAGCTATCTACACACCGTCTGTCTATCCCAGTACTTTAGCGCTGAAGGGTAAGGGTCAGACACCAATGAGTCTTCTTCTGTGTGCTCGGTGGTTCTCTTAGAATAGTGATCACAGTCCCCCTAGGCAAAGAGGGAAGGGAGAATGGCCACAAGAGTGGGAGGTCTTGAGCCATGGGGTGTAGGTGCCGCCAGAAACCAATGAGTGGCAGCCCCTCTATGCTGCCCCACTCTAGAACTAGTGCATAGAGGAGTAAGCAGATCCCTCTTGGGGAAAGCAAACACCTTTTCTTTTCACTTCTAATTTCTCTGCTCAGAGGCTACCAGACCAACATGGACTGGGAGAAGGAGGAAGGTGACGCGTTCCCATATTACGTTTATGGAGCAGCCTGCTCTGAGGTTGAGGTTGACTGTCTGACCGGAGCTCATAAGGTAAAGAGTACCATTTGCGTTTCCCATCCTCATGTTTATATACAATCTTTAAACCCATCGATGTGTTTTCTGTGCTGCAAAGGATGATCAACTTGATCCTTCCAGAGGAAGGAACAAGGAAAAACTATAATTCAAGTTTAAATAAATAATATTTTTATCACATGTTTTCTCCTGGCACAGCTCTTGAAGACTGATATCTTCATGGATGCTGCTTTTAGTATAAACCCAGCCCTTGACATTGGACAGGTGGGTGATACCATGGGGGCTTTTGGTCAGTTCTACTTAACAGCTATTCTTTCAGGATATTATTTCCAAAGTGCTTCAAACCTTGTTTATATTTAGTGTGAGTGTTCTTCAATAAATATTATATATTACATGCACACATCAACTACTGGAAGAAAATCTCTGAAAAAGTTAATGGAAGGTTGGGTGACCGATGTCAGGAGAAACCAGGCCAGAGAGAAAGAAAAGCAAAGTTAGTTTAAAGAGCAAAATCACAGACGCATAAAGTCTGGCTCTCTCTCTTTGCAAGAGAGCAGCTGCGATTGTAAAAGTCAGTGCCTCTTTTTCAGTTTTCCAGAGTTCTTTGTTTCTTTGATTGATAGTTGAAAATGCCATTCTCTCAGGTCCCAAGGTCACCTGGTTCTTTCTGTTTGGTCATATTGCCCTTATTGTTTTATTGTTTCTTTCCTATAGTTTCTGTTCAGAAATAGATTTTGATAAGAACTAGATATTAGTCATTAGGGAGTTTGGTGGTTAGCTTATTTTCAAGAGTACTGAGCTGGAACTTCTAATAAGAATCAAACATTCATCATTCTAGGTATGGGTAGTTAGCTATTTCCAGGAGTGTATATTCCTTTTTGCTGAGGATGTCCATTGTAAGAATTAATTTTATTAACCCTTCAGTTAACAATGACTGTCTTTGCATGGCAGGAATATATGTGATTTGTTCTGCTTTCCAATTTTTCTTCAATGAACATTAATATGTTCAGAATTAGGAAACATTATAAAATCATAAATTTGCATTTAAAAAAACAGTTGCTGTGGAGTTGACTTCCACTCATGGTGACCTCATGTCTGGCAGCATGCTCTATAGGATTTTCAGTGATGGATTTTTCAAAAGCAAATAGCCAGGCCTTTCTTCCAAGCCACATTTCAATTAGCAGCCAAGCATGTTAACTGTTTATACCACTCAGGGACTCCAGATTTGCTTTAGTATTCAGGTAAATGTTGAATTTAAACATAACACGCACTTTAGAGAAATATAAGGGGAAGACAAATGCTTTCACATAATTTTTGCCCTCTTGTTGAATTTATTATTTTTATATCACAAATAAATAAAATTAAATCACCCAAAATCAGCTGTGCATGTAATTCTGGGTTTTTGTTCTTTTTACCTTTGTACTCAAGGTGTGTTCATCAGACCAGCCACATCAGCACAGCCCAGACCTGCTGACCAGCTCCCAAGTGAGGCGAAAGTGGCTGGTCTGAAATTTGCACTTGAGTAGCAAGGATCTAGGAGCTCTGGTAGTGTAGTGCCTAAGGCACTTGACTGCTAACCAGAAGGCTGGCAGTTCAAACCCACCAGCCACTCCTAGGAAGGAAGTTTGAGCAATCTACTTCCATAGTGATACCGCCTGGTAAACCCAAGGACGGGTCGTTATGAGTCGGGTCTGACTCGATGCACATAATAGCAACAACAACAGCAAGGATGTGGAAAGGATGAGTAACTTGGCATCAAAACCCTGACAGGCATGTGGTGCTTCCATCCACCAACAGCTTCCTACCATCCTAAGCCGGCCCAGTACCAGTCTCCCTCAAATCAAGTCCAGCTCGCCATTCCCTGTGTGTCAGAGGAGTAGTGTGCTCCGAAGGGTTTTCAGTGGCTGAGTTTTCAGAAGAAGATCACCAGGCCTTTCTTGCCAGGCATCTCTGGGTGGATGCAAACCTCCAGTCCCTCTACTTAGCTGGTAGGCACCATAAAGGAGCAATTTCATTGATTCCTTGGGGCTTCTCAAAATTGACCCTCGAACTCCCTGCAACAAAAGTTATCTGTGGTACTCATTAAAAATGTGGACTCCTGGGCCCACCTCGGATCCAGACTTAATCATAACTTTGCCAAACTCAGGCTTGGGCTTGGCTTCCGCACATTTAACCTGCCCCTGAAATTGTTTTTAAGCCTGTAAAGTTTTTGGGTCGCTATGAGTCGGGCCGACTCGACGGCACATAACAACAACAACAACAAAGTTTGGGCACTGCAGCTAACCCCTCAGGCATCCCGCAGGCCTCCCTCCTTCAAGCCACTTCCTTCCTCTCACCATTCTCCCAGCTTATTCCTGCCTCTTTGCTACCTAAGCAAAGGTAGAAAGGGAGATGTTATGGTCAGGAAAACCCTGTATTTGCCCCATAGGAAAAAGAAAGAAAAACAAGGGTGTGTGGGGCTTTAATCTTTTCCTTTAGAGACAAGCATTGTTATTTAAATTTGACGCTTAAATTTACTTAAAATATTCCTAAATTTTGTATCTCAATCACAGACTGTAACTCTATCTGATATGTATAATCTGACATCCTTTTTATAAAGGATCTTTTTCTTCAGAACATAATAGTTTGTCAATAGAATACAACATGACTTTCAATAAATCCAGCTGCTCCTTCCAGCCCATCCTCATTAACACTGATCTACTATCCATAATAATTTATACAAGGAAGTAATGAAATCCGGGTGTTGTAATAAACCAGTATCCTGGCCTCATTTGTTCCAGCCCACATTCCTTCATTTTAGTTTCTTTCTCCTGTCATACAGCAGACTTTGCTTGAGAATCTACGTGCCAGGCATCATACAAGGCACAGGATATGAGAAAGCCCGGCCTTGATGTGCTTGTCAGCTCGCAGGAGGGGGAAAGAGGGAAAGAGAGGGGAGAATGAACTGAACAAGTGCTGCCGTTATGGGGAGCGTGTTCAAGGCTCAGTGAGTCTGGAGCAAGTTTTCCTAAAGCCACCTGGGGTGTAGGAGAGAATCTAAAAGGCTCCAGACAGGTAGTAGCTCTTTAGCTGCAACTTGGAGGATGGGTAGAAGTTTGCCATATGGACATGACGAGGTGGGAAGGGATGAAGAAAATCAGGAGAAACTGCATTTACAAAAGCTTGGAGGTGAGAAAGAACCTGGTGGCTTGGCTGCTAACTGAAAGGTCGGCAGTTCAAACTGACCCAGAGGTGCTTGGGAAGAAAAGCCTAGAGACCTGCTTCCATGAAGATTACAGGCCCCACCCCACCCCCCCAAAAAAAATCACTCTGGAGCTCAGTTGTACTCTAGAACACGTCGAGTCAGAATGACTTAATGGCAATGGGCTTGGTGTGGTTTTTTGGCAAATATCAGGCACCTGGGGGAGAAAAGCTGGGGGTGAGGTCAGGCAAGGTAGCAGGCACCACCCGCATTCAAGGGACCTTTCATAAAGCCCATCAAGGTGCTTTCAAGAAGGGCTTACTATGGTTCAGAGCTCCAATTCCACTCACACTGGAATGTTGACTCAACCAATATTATGTGGACTTTTTGGCTGTAGATTGAGGGAGCATTTATCCAAGGCATGGGATTTTACACCATAGAAGAACTGAAATACTCTCCGGAAGGTGTGCTTTATTCTCGGGGCCCGGATGACTACAAAATCCCCACTGTCACTGAGATTCCAGAGGAGATCTGTGTCACCTTGGTGCATTCCCAAAACCCCATAGCCATCTACTCTTCCAAGGTAAGAAAGAACTCAAGATCACCTCTCTCAAAATTAAGGAAGTAGTCCCCTGAATTTGCTTACTTATCTGAATATAAATTCCAAAAGGAAAAGGGCAGAAGAAAGTTCCCAGCAGAATGACAATTACTGAGACTTCAGAAAGCCTGAGCTTTCACTCTTTTTAAGAGCTTGTTTTACATGCAGTGTTATGTGTACATTTAGTTTCATTCCCCATTTACCATGTCCAGCCCTAACCCAGTCTCCTCTCCTCCCTACCCTGTAACACTTCCCCTGTGCCCCTCATATTTATGCACTCCTGTTTGTCCTGCATTTCCTCAGTTTGAATGTTGGTCCTCTGGTGTCCCATGGTCTATTGCTCTAAGGGATGTATTACCATAGAGTATGTGGTAGCATAGTGGCTAAGACACTTGCCTGCTAACCAGACGGCTGGCGGTTCAAACCCACCAGCCACTCCTCGGAAGGAAGGTTGGGCAATCCTACTTCCGTAGTGATACTGCCTCGGAAACCCAAGGAGGGGTCGCTATGAGTCGGGGCCGACTCGACGGCACATAACAACAACAACAACAATGTGGTGCATCATCCTGGGTTGAGTGGTCTGCGTGTACATCTTGTCAACTATTGGGCTGAGAGCCTACCCCTGGGGGTGAGTTTTATTCTGGGTGCAAAATGTATTCCAGGGCCATAGTACTGGGAATCTCACCAAATTTCATCTGACCAGTAATTCTGGTCATTATTGAGTTTTTTTATTTTGTTCCACGATTTCCCCTCCCACTCTATCCAGGAACTCCAGATTTGATCCTTCCTGAGTGGTTGGCCTTGGTAGCCGGGCACCATCTAATTTTTCTGGTCTGGAGGGCCATCATATCCTATGGCTGATTGCTTCTAAATGCCCCTTTTTTTTTCCCCCATTCTTCTTCACTTCCGACTTTAGGAGACCGTTAGCTGCATCTTAGATGACTGCTTGAAAGCTCTTAAGACCCCAGTCTCTACTGACCAATGTAGGATGTGAAGCAACGCTTTTATGTATTTTGTTGTGCCAACTGAGTCTGGTGTCCCCCAGTACTATGGTCCTGAGATGGTAGATCTATTGGCTCTCTCTCCCATAGTGTCTGGTTGTCTGTGAGGGATTACTCTGTGTCTGTCTTCTATTGTTTCTGTAAGGACTGCAGGTATTTTGTGGTGTCTGTGCAAGATTACCCTCAGCTGAATCTATCCTTGGTCTAGAGTATACTTCTGTTCACTGTCTCCTGTCTGCTCATCTCAGGTGTTTATGTGTTTATCTGTAGCCTGGTGTTTGGTGTTAATGGCAATGCGATATTGTGAAAACATTGGTTGGTATTAGCATCTGTTGTCTATCTCTTATGTGCACAATTCGGTGTCCTCCCATTTCTTAATGTTATCATGGTGGTCGTAGATCTTTCCCGTATATCCCTCCCCCTACCCATGTCAGCATGCAGGCCCCTACTAGCCCAAAATTAATCCCTCCCCTTCCCTCCCCATCCCGGTAACCTACTAAGTGAGTTCCCTTTCCCAAGCAAACCCTTCTCTGTCTTTTTACAGTAATGGGCTGAGCCTTCACTCTTAAGAGAAATCAGGAAACACATTTAAATCGAGCAAGAAGGGTCAAGGAGGAGTAGAACATCTTAGTAAATGAAGCTAAGTGCTCCATGAGATAAAAGTGAAGGGAGCACAATTCCTATTCCTAGCTGTTTCCTGCACCCATATATCCTGTAAACTCTAGTCTTCTTGTTCACAGTGCCCTTCTCTCCCCTTCCCCAAATCAAATGAGTTTCTCACTGATTATTTGCTCTGAGATGTTAATAGCCACTGCTACCTGAGGTGTTGACCTCCTGCTCCCTGGCACCGGTGAGTTCTAACTGGCTTATAAAGACCTGTCAAGGGTTCTCAAACACAAGTTGCCAAAAAATGCAGCTTCCCCAATTTAAGTTTTATTTTGAGACTACATCTGCCCAGAGAGGTGGGCAACATTAACCTTGAGTTTTCAGGGGTTTCCTTCCCTTCCCAGGAGTAGGTCAAGGTGAAGAAGGAAGGTGAGACTTCCTGTTGGAATGACCTCTGTCTGAACTTCTGTGCCAGATTTTGCCAGGGCCATCAGCAAAGGCACAATCCTCCCTCCCTGGCAGTCTGCTCCAAATAGAGTCACAGAGCTCTCCACTCTCACCCCCTTTTCCCTGCCCCTCTTAACATACCCTGTCTCCATTTCCCTGTGCTATGTTAACAGAAATACCACAGGGGGGTGACTTTAAAGAACAGAATTTTCTGTTGTCACAGCTCTGGAGGCTAAAAGTTCCAATTCAGCACATCAACAGGAATAGTCTGTCAGCTCTAGGAGATGATGCCATAGATTCTTGGGGACACAATTCAATCCATAACAGCCTCTGAAGAAATCCCTCTCGTTGCCCAAGGCACCGTATCTCTCTCCATATTTGCCTCAGAATAAGCTTGGCTTTTGAAAAACTAAAGGCAGAGAAAGCTTTTATCTGCTTTGGGCCCTTGGTCTCATCCCTCTACTGAGTCAGTGGACACAGATCACAGAGCAGATAACCTGGAAAGAAATAGGGAAAAAATCAGTACAAAAATGTCTTGGTTAATTATGTAAAATATAATGCCACTACACTGTTAATTCAAAAGCATCCACCACAAGCCAGGGAAGTTAGCACTCAAGAAAACTCTGCAAGTCCACCTCTTTAGAAGCAACCATCTTACTGTCTTTTAATCTCAACTACAAAGATTATGGTTATTTTGATTGGGTTTTGAGTTAAGCACAAATGGTCTAGAGCCCCAGTTGTAATATCTAAGAGGCACCAAGGGCTTTGGTGTTTAGGATTTACCTGGGTGGGGAACCGGAGTTTTCCCCTTCCCTGCTATCCTGATGTCCTAATGCCCGGGTGAATTTTCTTGAGCTTCTCTGAGGAGGGTCCTACATTTAACTTGGCATGAGGGGAATTTGATTTTGGCAGTCAGACTCACTCCCTTCTGAAGGTTACAAAGCCAGAAGAGAGAAGAGTGTGTGTGTGTGTGTGTGTGTG